AGAAAATATAAGCCCCCGAAGAGGCTGCAGGACTGAGCACACATTAATTGCCTAGTCAATGTTATAATTACAATTGATTCCAAAAAGCATCACTCTTCAAGCCTAAAAAGGAAATACCCCAACATGTACAGGTTGAATTTTTATTTTGCTTTTTCATTTTGCCAATTTGTCAAAAATTTCTTTTTTGTTGTTGCTTAAAGTATCTTACTGCATTTAACACAATGATAAAAATAAAAAATAAAAATAAAAACAAAAATAAAAAAGAAAGAACATATGAGCTCTAATACCTACAATGAGATAGGTATTAATTCAACCCTCCACCATCTGTAATATGAGAAAGGGGGTGGGGATATCAATATTAAAGTGTTTATAGCAAACATTGATATTAAAATCTGTGAAAGACAAGCATGGGAGGCGACAGTGGAAATCATCAGCTCCACCTACCCATTACTTCTTGCAAGAGCTTCTGCTCAAAGAGCAAGAGTAGCAGGAGAAACATCAGTGAAGACGGGTTTGTACTAACACACACCCTGAGCTACTGAGGTGTAGGCAAACGTGCTCCAGTTGATTTTGCTATAAGAAAGGGGTAATCTCTGGTAGAAAAGCAGGACTGACAAATAAAGTACAGAAAATAAAGTCCTAAACCATGACAACTTTTGCTTTAATGGACAAGTTCAATTTCATGGGATATTTTATTGCTGAAACATGTCAAGAAATAAATATGCCAGGTTTTACTTCAGCCAGATTGGAGTGAAATCACAGATCTACCTAAAGTTGTGTAACTCTCTATAATGCCTGAAATATATTTTCATGAAGTCATACAGTTGTATCCTAGCACAAATAAATTCATACACACACAAAGCTGATGCAGTAAGGAATGCCTGAAAATAATTTAAGCTCATAATAATTGTGTGAAGGGACATGAAAAAAAGTATGTGGCTGTAATATTCATCTAGACACTGCAAGCAAGAGTTACCACATACAATTGTTTTGCATACCTTCAATAGACATTTTCGGGACTGAACTTAGCTTCCTACTCAAATACATGTTAAATTTATCCAGTCTCCTTTATCATTTACTTTTACTTTAAGACAAGTGTAAGTACCTCATTACTGGAACCACTTTTTCCTTTTAAGTACAAATGCTATTATAAATTTGGTTATATTCAGTCCTGAAGCAATCCCAGCTACTTCAATGTCCCACTGATGTTACATAAATTGCAATTATTGAAATGCACATTTATTTATATAGAATAGAATAGACCCTGCCTTAGCAGGGGGTTTGGAGTAGATGACCTACAGAGGTCCCTCCCAACCCTAACAATTCTGTGATTCCTGTATTATATGACACACCAAAAGAGCATGATTTGGGCTCTGCAGTATTATTCTGAGTTTTCATTTTTATATCATAACTGCTATATAAAAGCTCCCAAAACTGTGAACATAGCATTCATTTATATTTTTGTAAAGATATGTCACATGGGAGAAAAGCTGTAGTCAAATGTGCTGATGGCACATGTGAAATAAAACTGTTGTCAGGCTAAGGGCAATATGACTAAAGTGTTTTGGTGAGTCAGTATTTGATTACTGAAATCAGTTGTGGGCGTAGGAAAACATGATTTTCTCTGAACAAGGACTTGACACGTGTTAAGAGCACAACTGTGTATATGATATTACTTCTCTCATTAATAATTGTTTTGATGTACTCATATCAAAATGAGTTAGATGTTCAAAACCAGGATGAACTTTGTTGTTTGAGACAGAGATAATAGAGTATCTGTGTACAACCCTTTGCATTTAATATTTTAGAACTCATTCACTTTGGAGAAGATATGTGTTTTACTAGCAACAATGAAAAGTAATAATGATTTATTTATTTTTTTTAATATATGTGCTATTAAAAAAAACCTATAAAGCTAGAGTATTTTTTTTTCAGAGAGTAGATTAAATGTTACCCAATAAAAAATTATAAGCATTTATTAAATTCAGTCCATCTTATACTACATTTATGACTTAGGCCTTGTTATATATAGGTAAAATAAACACCAGCCTGGATAATGAAAGGAAGTGTATGTGAGACATACTGGCAATACACAGCTTAAGCTTAGCCATGATATTTTTCTACAGAATCCAGTATGTCATGCTTGAAAGGAAGACAGTAATGGCAGTTTAGGGCCTCACTACTGAGAGGGAAAAAAAAAAGGAGAAAGAGAGAAAGAGAGAAGGAAGGGAGGGAGGGAGGGAGGGAGGGAGGGAGGGAGGGAAGGAAGGAAGGCAGGAAGGCAGGAAGGCAAGGAAGGCAAGGAAGGCGGGAAGGCAGGAAAGGAAGGCAAGGCAGGAAAGGGAAGGCAGGAAAGGCAGGAAGGCAGGCAGGAAAGGCAGGAAGGCAGGCAGGCAGGAAGGAAGGAAGGAAGGAAGGAAGGAAGGAAGGAAGGAAGGAAGGAAGGAAGGAAGGAAGGAAGAAAAAGCAATCAGGGAGGGAGGGAGGGAGGAAGGAAATGGGAATTCATGCCCTTCAATTTTTAATTTCAGCTCTGGTCCTTAGGTGATAATTTAGGCTATGATGGAGAAAACCTGAAATCCCATAGCAGAGGAAGAAAAAACTACACAGTCTCTATTCTTAATATAGAAACAGATAGTTGTGCATGGTATTTCATCTTGACAGCAGATCTAAATTAGACAGTAACATTCTTCGAAGAAAATAAGCAGTGTTTGAAGAAGATAAAAAGGAAAGTACAAACCTGAAAGTCAATTTTGACTGTTGAGGTTCTAAATCCAGAGCCAACTGACAGAATTTTCTGAGGTTCAAAAATTCAGTCTATCTGTGACAGTTGACCTGCCCCCAAAATCTCACGTCTCAAGGATTATTCAATCCTGCCCAGGACAGCTATATTTTCATTGCCGGAAACAAAGTATAGCACAAATCTGATATAAAAGTAGGATCTTTACATGAAATAAAGAGTGGCTAAACAAAATTAGTATGTTTTTGTCAAGAAGCAAAGTGAGAAACTCTTTACCCAAATATTTTATTAATACTGTTATTAGAGGGGAAACCTCATGTAATACACATAATTCTTTTATTTTTTTATGTTGTTAGGTTATGTTATTAAAGGCTACGTAAGCACAAAGGAGGGGAAGCATAATGACAGGTGGGGATACTCCAGGAATCTAATCAGAACAATAATAACCTTTAGGCCATTAAATGATGATGATGAAGGCATTGTCTGGGGGTGAGATCTACTGAGATGAGTCAACTAGAGAGGCTTTCCCTGGTGAAGGGTGATTACTGACTACAGGGTAAGTCATTCATTAGGAGATGCCAAGAAAAGCAGTTTGGGATTGTGAGAGACTTATAATATCATGAGGCATTTCTGAAAAGCACCAAAGGGAAGGAGAAAGAGGGATCAAAGTAGGTTGGGAGGAACAAGCATGAATAATCGTAAGAAGAGAATACAAGCTGAAATCGGAAGATACGCTCAGACTCATTACTGTGTGGTACTAGGGACATGGAGCTTCAGCAGCCTCACCTCTGCTGAGCTTCTGGATTCAGTAATTCATAACATAAGACATGGACAGTGGGATTGAGTGCGCACTTAGCAAGTTTGCCGATGACACCAAGCTGTGTGGTTCGGTTGATATGCTGGAGGGAAGGAATGCCATCCAGAGGGACCTTGACACGTTTGTGAGCTGGGCTGATGCCAAACTCATGAAGTTTAACCATGACAAGTGCAAGGTCCTACACCTGGGTCAGAGCAATCCCAGGCTCAGCTACAGGCTGGGCAGAGAAGAGATTCAGAGCAGCCCTGCAGAGAAAGACTTGGGGGTGCTGGTCAATGAGAAAATGAACATGAGCTGGGTTCAGTGTGCGCTCACAGCCCAGAAAGCCAACCGTATCCTGGGTCATCAAAAGGAGCGTAACCAGCAGGTCGAAGGAGGTGATCCTGGCCCTTTATTCTGCTCTTGTGAAACCTCACTTGGAGTATTGTGTGCAGTTCTGGTGTCCTCAACATAAAAAGGACATGGATCTGTTGGAACAAGTCCAGAAGAGGGCCACGAGAATGATCAGGGGAATGGAGCACCTCCCATATGAAGACAGGCTGAGAAAGTTGGGGCTGTTCAGCCTGGAGAAGAGAAGGCTGCGTGGAGACCTCATAGCAGCCTTCCAGTATCTGAAGGGGGCCTATACGGATGCTGGGGAGGGACTCTTCATTAGGGACTGAAGTGATAGGACAAGGGGTAATGGGTTAAAACTTAAACAGGGGAAGTTTAGATTGGATATAAAGAGGAAATTCTTTCCTGTTAGGGTGGTGAGGCACTGGAATAGGTTGCCCAGGGAGGTTGTGAATGCTTCATCCCTGGCAGTGTTCAAGGCCAGGTTGGACAAGGCCTTGGGTGACCTGGTTGAGTGTGAGGTGTCCCTGCCCATGGCAGGGAGGTTGGAACTTGATGATCTTAAGGTCCTTTCCAACCCTAACTATTCTATGATTCTATGATTCTATGTTGTTACCAGACTCAGCAATTCTTGCAAGTTAAGAGAGCCAGTCCTGAAATAATTTTCATTCCTTTCCATTGCTTCAGGCTGAGTTTCTTGGAGCAAAACCAGAAATTCAGAGTTTTGTGATTCTTATCAGCTACTGGTGAAGTTCTAACAATGTTTTCTAACTTGTGAGCAAATACAGATTTTTACATGAGTAGGAAGTTTCAGTACAGTTAATAACCCACTTAGAAAGAGGAGACAGAGAGTCCTGTCCTTCGAATTTATTGAAAAGCACAATGGTGCTGGCTGATTTACTACACATCTCTATTAATCTACATTGATTAAGAATGATACATAGAAATGAATACCTGATTCAGTGAAGGAAACAAAGATAGTAATATGAAGTAATTTGTTCTAGATGCTGAATGTGAAAAGGAAATCAAAACTAAAATCTGCATAAAAACCAAATTGCTAAATGATTTGAAATACATAATTAGTTTAAATAGAAGTAAAATTATACACACTTTCACCTTTCTCCTCAGCAGCCCCTAGAGGTTGTTCTTCCTCTGATATTGTTTTTTCTTGCATTTCTCCTCTGTAAGTAAAAGATTATTTTTCTTAAGACTAACATAAATACTGCTGAAACAAGTTGCAGATACATTAAATGTAAAGATGTGGAAAAATAACATTGGGAACTGAAATATAATTTGGGTTGTACAAAATAAAAATCAAATATATTTTATAATCTAAAATGCTATTGTCTCATTACATCAAAAGGCTGGAGTAATGAAAGGCATTTAGCAAGAGAATCTTCAGCCACCATCTTTACTGATCTAAATGAGATATTCCTCAAAATTGACACATACTGGCTTATTTCCTGTACATCATAACTAATCTTAGTGTACTGTTTTACTACATTTATGTTGATAAATGCACTGATAAGTTTAACACAAAGTAAGGCTAGAAGTTTCTTGTTCAGATATCTGGAATAGTTTACCTTTCTTCTTCTTCTTCTGTTTTCTTTTCTAATGCTTCATCAGTTAGTCTTTTCAAAATCTTAGGATTAATTTCATCCCTATTTGCTGAGTATGTTCTGCGTATTATACAGACTCCTGCAATACAAGTATATAACAATATTGAGTTTTATTCATGTGTATAAAATTATGGTTGAGTTAGGAAAAGTATTTAATAAATGATAGCTTTCTAAAGCCAAGAAAATGCATATACACCACTTAATTCTTATTATACCCTTGCTTTCTAAGATTTTAGAGCTTTGATTTTAATTTCAAGCACATAATAAACTGAGTCTAGGATATGGGAAGGTTATGATGAAAGCTAAAAGGACAGACAGCACTGAAAGGATTTATCTTATATGTCCAAATGTCAAGCATTACTCTGGCATATATTTTGTTTGTATGCATATGAAGAAAACTGTGAGGAAAAATATTAAAACCATTAAAATAAAAATATAAAGAATGTACAGACAGTGTGCGCTCGCAGCCCAGAAAGCCAACTGTATCCTGGGCTGCATCAAAAGGAGTGTGACCAGCAGGTTGAAGGAGGTGATCCTGCCCCTCTACTCTGCTCTTGTGAGACCTCACTTGGAGTATTGTGTGCAGTTCTGGTGTCCTCAATGTAAAAAGGACATGGAACTGTTGGAAAAAGTCCAGATGAGGCCACGAGGATGATCAGGGGACTGGAGCACCTCCCATATGAAGATAGGCTTGAGAAAGTTAGGGCTATTCAGCCTGGAGAAGAGAAGGATGCATGGAGACCTCATAGCAGCCTTCCAGTATCTGAAGGGGGCCTACAAGAATGCTGGAGAAGAGATCTTCATCAGGGACTGTAGTAAAAGGACAAGGGGTAATGGATTCAAACTTAAACAGGGGAAGTTCAGGTCAGATATAAGGAAGTTCTTTACTGTTAGGGTGGTGAGGCACTGGAATGGGTTGCCCAAGGAAGCTGTGAATGCTCAATCCCTGGCGCTGTTCAAGGCCAGGTTGGACAGAGCCTTGGGTGACATGGTTTAGTGTGTTGTCTCTACCTATGGCAGGAGGGTTAGAACTAGATGGTCTTCATGTCCTTTCCAACCCTAACTATTCTATGATTCTATACTTCGTGGTTTAAGCCCAGCCAGTAACTCAGAACCATGTAGCCGCTCTCTCACTCCTCCCCCACCCCTTTCTCCTCCCTGCTCCCAGACGGATGGGGAGGAGAATCAGATGAATGTAACTCCCATGGGTTGAGATAAGAACAGTTCATTAACTAAGGTATAACACAAATCACTACTGCTACCACCAATAGTAATAATGATAAGGGAAATAACAAGGGAAGAGAATACAACTGCTCACCACCCACCAACCGATACCCAGCCTGACCCGAGCAGTGATCTAACCCTTCCGGGTAACTGCCCCCAGTTTATATAGTAGGCAAGATGTGCTGTGTTATGGAATATCTCTTTGGATAGTTTGGGTCAGGTGTCCTGTCTCTGCTTCCTCCCAGCTTCCCCTCCTCCCTGGCAGAGCATAAGACTCAGAAAGTCCTTGGTCAGAGTAAACATTACAGAACAGCATCTAAAAACATCGGTGTTATCAGCACTGTTCCCAGGCTGAAAGTAAAAAACACAGCACTGCAGCAGCTACTAAGAAGGAGAAAAATGACTACTACTGCTGAACCCAGGCATTATCCACCCCTTATTCCATACCATTCATGTCATGCTCAGATCCCACATTTTCAATATGCCATCACTCTTATCTCATATATATACATATATATACATCCACACACAGAGAAAGAGAGATCATTCCTTAGTGCATGGACCAATCCCTATAAAGCTGCTGAGTCCACACTGTCCATGATGTCGGGCTCCATCTCTTGTAACAGTCTTTCAGAGCAGGAGAGGCTGTATGCAGTGTTGGATCGTTGCCTGCTGATGATGCTGCAGAACTCGTCTGGTTTCATCGAAGCTCATTGTTTGTTGGGATGATGGTTAGAGGGAAGTCAGGGCCAGTTGCTGGTGACCTGAAGACATCTAGTTGGTGGGCGATAAAATTGCTACATAATAGGCAACAGCATACAATTGAGTTCATTGGCTGTTTTCCCTTAAAACCAAATCCTCTTGAGGTACATGTCGAACTTCATCTGGATCTATGGGTGCGTCCCCGGTGTTCAGCTTGATGTGATAGATCATCTCTACAGTGGCTGATTCCCTCAGAGACTGGATGCTTTTCTCTAGAGTAGTCCACTTGGCCGAACGACTCATAACATCATCCTTGTATGGAAACCTTTCTTTCACAGCTGCCAAGAGTTGCTTTCAAAGGCTGAGGGACTTTTTCTCTCTTGCAATTACTTTGTCAATTCCCCCTTCCCTAGCAAATGACCCCAGCTGCTTGGCTTCCCTACTTTCTAGTTTGTGACCATCGGCCCCATTGTCCCAGCATCAGAGCAACCAGGTGACCTTGTGCTCCCCTGGTTGATGAGTAAAATCTTTTTGCATATTCCATAGCTCGGTTGAAGTCCAAGGTCGAGAAGTCATCTCTTCTTGTTCTTCTTATTCATGTGATGATGACTCCTGATCAGATGCTGTCCTGGGTAGCAAGTGCCTTGCCATTGCTTCTTCATCTTGTTCCTTTGTCTTTCTTGTCTTTTTTTTTTGCTTTTCCCCCTGTGTAGAGGGGCAACCGATATTGGTACGAATTGGTCCTCTGGTTTAGCTGCAGTGATTATCACTGTGGTTGGAGTGGCTGCAGTATCTGTTGTCAGGGTTTGGGTAGCTACTGTAATTGTCACTGGGGTTGGTGTAGCTGCTGTGCTTGGAGCTGGAGTAACTGCACTGTATGTTGCAGTCAAAGTTTGAGTAGCTACTGTACTTGTTGCTGTGGCTGGTGTAGCTTCTGTGCTTGCAGCTGGAGTAGCTGCACTGACTGTTGCTTTGCCCTCAGATTCAGGGACATTTTTTTCCTCTTGAAGGTGCTGGATAGTGTTGAACAGGGCTCTGTAACCATAGGTCAAGCCCCAGCATGTTGCCATGATTTGTCCCTCTCTTGTATAGCCAGAATGACAACACTCCTCATTTAAGTGTTTTACTAATTTTTCTGGATTTTGCACTTGTTCAGTGGTGAAGTTCCAAAGCACTGGAGGGGCCCACTGGCCTAGATGCTTGCCCATATTATCCCACACACCCTGCCACTCATGACTGCCCAGCCTCGCGGAAAATTTCTTGGTCCTCCTATATGGTCGTCTAACCCTAGACAAGGCCCAAGCCCAACTCTGCTTAACTCTTGGGACCAGGCGAAGTGGCTGTAGGTAAAACACACTCTGTATGCATGCCAACATGGTGATCCCTATCACAGTCAGCAGACAGGTCTCAAGCGTACCTAAAGGCCTTTCAAAACCTTCAGAACTCTCAAATGATGCTGTAAATGGTCGGGGGGGGGGGGGGGGGGGTTAGGGTTAGGATTAGGGATGCTTATCACAACTATGATTAGACACACTCTGGTCAGATCTGTCATTATCTCAACCCTTCAGGCCCCACATTGGGCACCAAAAAGAACTGTCGTGGTTTAAGCCCAGCCAGTAACTCAGAACCATGTAGCCACTCTCTCACCCCCCCCCTTCCTCCCCCTGGCTCCCAGAGGGATGGGGAGGAGAATCCAAAGAATGTAACTTCCACAAGTTGAGATAAGAACAGTCCATTAACTAAAGTATAACACAAAACCACTGTTGCTAACATAAATGATGATAAGGGAAATAAGAAGGGAAGAGAATACAATCACTCACCACCCAGCCTGACCTGAGCAGTGATCTAACCCTTCCGGGTAACTGCCCCCAGCTTATATAGTGGGCATGACGTGCTGTGGTATGGAATACCCTTTTGGCTAGTTTGGGTCAGGTGTCCTGTCTCTGCTTCCTCCCAACTTCCCCTCTTCCCTGGCAGAGCATGAGACTCAGAAAGTCCTTGGTCAGAGTAAACATTACAGGACAGCATCTAAAAACATCAGTGTTATCAGCACGGTTCCCAGACTGAAAGTTAAAAACACAGCGCTGCACCAGCTACTAAGAAGGAGAAAAATGACCGCTACTGCTGAACCCAGGACAAAAGTAATGACTAAAAATGCTGTGAAAATGTAAACCTCACAACTTCATTATTATTTGACAGAAATTAATGGGAATCAAATGAAAAGTTATCACAATTGTCCAAACAAAATTAAAAAAAAAAAAAGAGAGAGAGAAACAAACAAAACCCCTAACCCAAAATGAAAGAAAACAGATAATTCAAGGAAATATCCATAAGCATTCTTGTGGTTATTAAGAAAGGGCAATGCACTGTGTCCCAGAAACCAGGTTCATGAATATTTCAATATACTTGAAATGTCTGGGAAGCAAAGATGAGGCATGGCAATGCAGTTTGTCCTTAAGTGCTTTCTGAAAGTATCTGAGATGAGATCTTAAATGATAGAAGCAGCAAAAAAGATTTTCTGTCAATCTAAAACTTCCCCATGTAAATGTTGAGTTTGTATTTAGTCTGTATAGGAGCTCCAGCCACAGTGGAAGAATTTTAATTAAGATGTTTGAAGTATTACAAAATTTCACAAGGCTATGTGACTAAGTTCAGGTACTGTAGCTGAGTTGTGAGGATCATTAGCTGATCAGATTACATGCTTTTGAAAAGTTGGTTTGGTTTTGGTTTAATAAGAAATCTGTTCTGAACTATCTGTGTAACCTTGATTCGCCAAGGTTGATTTTTATATTCAGGGACACGGGTTTGAAAAGCTCTCTGGATTGATTCTAATAATCATGCAGTAAGCTTTCTTGAACTAAGTATGAGTAGACCTATCATTCCTTTCTTGAAATGGAAGTTTCTACTACTGAAAGACCTTTGGATAATGCACTTGGTTGAACAGGTAATGACAAACACTGCCAAAGAGCAATGAAACCTGTGGTGTGGTATGAATCAAACAGGCAAAATCCATTCAGACATGATTTGAAAGGTAAAACTTTTAACAGCTTTTCATGCCCAGTACCAACCTTTCTTCCAGCTTGAAACAACAAATCCCTTCCTCTAATTTCATAGGTACTAAGCTATTGTATCAGGATATAAAGTTGCTCAACTTTCTTTGACCTCGTGATAGGGAACGCTTTACATATAGCTATCAACACTGATAAAAAAGAAAAGATCAAGTTTCATTAGTGTGCATTTACTAACCGTTTTTTTCTGTATCCTTCAGACAGACAACAGTGTCAGGTAAAAGTCCTTTTTCTGATAAAGCTGACCAGTGATCTGCTGACAGAGGGTAGTTATCCACTACCCATCCTCCTTTTTCTGGAGCACCAGGAAACCTGCCTCTGTTATTCTTGATAAGCTGTTATAAAATGTCAGGTCAGTAACATAAAAAGACTAAGGGAGTCTGTGAGCTGTTCAAAAAGATTGCACAATACAAAATGAATTTCTAAACGTTATGAGTTTTTCCTATTGTCATTTCAGGTCAATAAAAGTAAGACATTTATAACTTTGTATGTCTGAATGAAATAGAGATTTATGTGCCAGTGATTTTTTTAAGGTTGCCTGTAAAGATTTTAGATTCCACTTTCAGTAGTTACACAGCAGTGAACAAATCTTAAACAATTCAGTATTCTTGGATAAACATTTATATAAAATTCTTTTCAAACACTTGTATCTGGCATTGAGCTCTTTAATAATAGTGACTATTAAGAGTATAAGGTGAGCATACAGTGATACTTCGCTCAGATAATTCTCCCAAGCTTTAACAATTTGTAGCCCAGGTACTTTGCACAATAGAAACAATTTGTGTGTGTGTGTGTATGTGTATAGAGAGAGAGATATATGTCCTCCTAGATTTGTCTTTCATGATCTTGCTCAATCTCTCCATCATTGTTTGTAAGCTTTCAGACTATGTGATATAAACAAAACTGATCTTTCAAATGGAAAAATTAAGAACATATATCAATAATGTATAAGCTATTACAGGTTGCTCTTAGAAAACAAGTGCTTTGCCATGTAGCACTTGTAGCTTTACCTCTGCAATAGCACTCTCCAATACTTCAGCATATATTTCAGGTGGCAGTGTAACTTCAGAGACTGATGCAGTTGTTGTGGCTTCTACCATTGCTTGAACTTCTGGGTGGTCAGCAGTTATCTCTGGCATTCCTAACAATGCAGATTTTTTTAAATTTAAAAAGTCACAAAATTCTGAAATACTTATTTCCTCTGGTCAGGAATAACTGCATCACATGGATATTGAGTCTTAAGCACCAACTCCTTCAACCTCCTGACCTACTCTGACAATAGACAGAAACTCCGCAGACTTCAGTGGAGTTTCATAGCCTCGCTGTTTAGGGCCCAACTGGACTTGGGAGCACTCAGTGCAGCCAGGAAGCCATTTAACTAATTATAATGATATATCGTCTTTTCTATATTTTAAGTGATTCTCTCAAATGGTAGAATTTAGTAGGTAATTACCTAAATAATTTCATTAGGAATAGGAAATAATTTCTGGGATAATTATCTCCAGATCTAGATTCAAACATTCAAAAATATTTAATTTCTCCTTCTGAAGCTTTCCTCCTTTGTGTGACAATTTACATTCTTCATCTGTTCGTAGTTCTGTTTTGCAATAAAATCACTTGAGCTCACCAAGGTTATTAATTAGGATTAAATTCTTATTAATGCTAATTTGATTTCACATACTATCCTGAAAAGTATTTACATAGCCAAGAATCTGGAACATGAAACTGTTTAATGATTTTTATTTTGGTGTGATAGTTCACCACTGTTCTTACTGCAATGCCAACACTTTTTGTATCACTGTCAACTTCTATGTTTTGCAGCACCAAAAGAATGTACTGGCTTCTTGTTAGATATGTATCTATACATGACTAAGTCAAACACGGTGATTCCTTGCTAGCTGAATAAGACAAAATGGCTTGACTGCCCACTGGAACCATAGCTAGAGCTAACTGGAAATGCAAATTCCAATTCAGTGGAAAAATTTAATTTCAAACTAAATAATTTAGAAAAAAAACAACCAAACCCATTTACTTTTCTGAAAAAAGAGCATCTAAATTTTGTTTTAAATATGTAAAAAAAATATGTTATTTTCACCTTTTGAAAATATTTTCTGAATTTATCAAGCTGCAAAAACCTCGGCAGCTTATGAAGCCTAAATGTGACCAGAACTGGAGAGTCTTGTGACTGTGCCATCTGAGGCAGCGTACTTGGCAGGCTGCTCCAAAGTGGAAAATATGTACACTGTGGGTTCACATCAGGCTAGCTGACGAGGTGTTTTCTTGAAGAAAATTTCAATTTTGCAGAGATTTAACTTGTTAGAAAGTCATTCAAATGGAAAATTTTAAACCAGTATCAGTCAGAACCAATTTCTTCCTTGAAAAAGAGCTCAGAAAACTCTTTTAGATTCTCGTGGTTTTCAGCTTCTGAAGATTTACATATAATATCAAAAATACTGAATTTTACTTAGCTGTCCTCTTCACTGCATGTACATTTAGTTCATATTTATTGCACAACAACTGTAACAACTTCTGTAATAATTTCTAAGTCGAAGTGACAGCAATTGCTTCAGTTAAATTACCTAAAGTGAATAAGATAGCTTCAAAGACCATGGAACACCTTATTCACCTGATTCTGTTGACTGTTCTTCCATCCTGTTTTTTACTGCTGTTATAGCTTTTTCTATTATATCCCTTCGCATTTGCTCCAAGTTTTCTTCTTTTGCTTTTTCCAGATGGGGTTGAATGAGTTTGGCCATATCAAGAACCTAGTGAAATTATTTGAAAAAGAAAAAATATCACAGAAGAGAAATGTAGCATCGGATACAACTTCTATAGAATGAAATGAGTTTGGAAAAGCTGTGCTAATTTCAGGAAAAAATACATATAATTCAAGTTCAGGAGTTTTTCTGCAGAAAAAATATTTTCTAATTTGCATTTACATTTCAGTATCTTATATACAAAAGTTATTCATGGCATTATGCTAAAAACATAGTATTTGTTATATAAACAACTGACACAAATACTTGTCTTACACAGAGAGTAAATAAGAATATTTTTTAAATTTAGCTACTTTTATATAAATGAGTTTCACTAAAATATCGTATTTCCTCTATAATCCATGTTTGCAATGTGTATATTAATAACACAACAAGAATGGGATTAACTGTTTTCCAAGCCTCAGCTGATACCCTTGTTACACAAGACATTTACGAACCTACCTTTCCTTTGTATTTGTGTGCAATTAGGTTACAAAGAGTTGTTCTTCCAGAGAATGGAGGACCAAATACTAGTACTTTACAAGGAGGAAGTGGCATTGGTGGTAACAGGTAAGGCCGTGGATTCAACATAAATACTCTCAATGCCTCTAGGGATGACAGTATGTACATTTTACCTAGAAAACTTAAAACAGAAGAGAAGCTAACAGACATAGATAGTTATCTTATAAAATAGAAATAAATAGTGACAAATTCCACTAACCTGACAGCTAAGTCTGGATTTCCCATTACAATATCACCTTTCTTTAGAGCCACAGGACATACTTTCCCCCATCTGCTTCTACGCCATCGGTAACTGTGTGCTATTAGTTGGTAAGATGACAGAACCCGGAAAAGTTCACCCTGTTTATTAAAACAGCAAGAACAGCATACGTAATTTTTGACTGAAGCTACATATGCCATGTTCTTCGCCTTTTTTGAAATATTTTGTTGGAAAACAAGCAAACCTGAATAGAAAACCACACTTCTTAGTATATTTTTTAAAAATCACATAGATAAGAATTACAGGACAATTTTAAGGAGAATCAATTTGTTTTTTAGAGTTTATTTAATAAAAATAGTACCTAAAATAGTTCCTCTAGCCTCCATTTACTATTTTCAGAATTTTAAACTGATAAAGAGGTACAAATCAGCCACTTACTGAAGATGACAGAAAATGGCCAAGTTTTCTTTTAAATGGGATAAATAAAGAACCACGGTCTGTGAGGGGAATAGCAAGGTCAAAGTATCTCTTTTAGGCACACAAAAACGTCATGTGATAGGAGTAAGTTTAATATACCTTTATAGAATATGAATATTGAGTGAATCCTAAAATTTATGGTGACTCTAAATTATTCAGAATAGTACAGACAGATGCTGGGTGTGAAAACCTGCAAACAGGCCTCCAGAATCTAGGAAGCCGGACATAAAAATAGCAGGTTTACACAGAAAATGATGAGTTGTCATTTACTGCCACTACTCAGGAATAGATCTTGGAATTGTAATACATACTTCCATGAAAGCATTTGGTCAATGCCCAAGCAGTCAGAAAACCAACCTAAATGTTAGGAATTATTAGCAAAGAAAGAAGATAATGGTTCAATTTTTGAATTGTATAAATCCTGCTGTCATCTTTACTGCTATGTGCATTGTGCTACCTTCATCTCAAAAAGTACACAGTAGAATAGGACAAGTTTACAAAAAAGATAATACGACTGATCATTTACACAAAAATATTTTCATGTAAGAATAAATAAGATTAAGTAGACTGGAACTCTTTGGTCCAGGAACAAAACAGCTATTTAAGAACAGACAAAAATCTGAAATTATGAGTTATTACAGGGCAGATACAGAGAACAAAACTACTTACTGGCTTTTGTGTATCAACAACTAGAGGACACTGAGCTAAAAAGTGGCAGGGTCAACACAAAGGGAAGCAATTCTGTATATAATGTCCAGTTAAGCTGCAGAACTCCTTGCCCCAAATACTGTGGATGCTAAAATTTACACACAGATTAACACAAACACACAGACTAACTAATAAATACAGATGACCTCTCACACATAAAGTCTTTCACTTGTGAATTTTGTCAGGTACTGAGAAAACAGAAAAGCGAAAGGAGGGGTGTTTCTCTGAAAATGTATAGTGGGGTCTCCCTATTACGGTACCATTTATGCATTCAGAGTTTTGTTTTAGAAATAGAAAAGACGACTGCAAGTGAATCTAGGTGAAAACATTATGCAAAGATCTAGTTTTTTATTTTTATTTGGAAGGACAAATTATAATTGTCATGATTCAGAAAAATTCAGCACTAACTAGTCATGTTTCTAATTAATTACATGTTGCTAAATTTGTATTAGCATGCTGTTTCTCGGTCAGGAAAAGAGCAGGCAGGAATCAGCTGCTGAGATTGTAATCTTTTGGCTAAAGTTTCTTTATTTTCTTGGAAGGAAATAATTCTCCCTCTATTGCTAAACAAACATTTTGCTCAAAATCTTATTACAATAACCTAACTTTTTTTTTCCTTTAAAATGCCAGACTATTTTCTTTTCATACTCTTTAAGTGGATTTCAGTCCCAGAATTAGCTTAAATTCACACTTCTGGAAAATCAAAGCTCAAAAAATACCCCTATTGCATAGTAAAACAAACTGGTTGTTATGAAACACAGATTCTATAGTATAAGCTTACAGCAGTAAAGAAAAAAATATTTTTGTGGTTATTACAGCAAATCACAGTTTAGAAAAGCACACTTACATCTTCCAGTCCCTCCAGCATTTCTTCTTCATCACATTGAAGTCTGGTTATAGGTGCTCCAGTTCTAACACCCAGAGACTGAAGCTGAACTGCCACTGACTGAAAAGAAAATAACTCTTCACTTAATCCCAGGCAAAACTGCTTTTGTGTTATCCAAAAGGACCACCAAAGTATTCTTAAAATTGCAACTTATCATCTATATCATGGCTACCTATACACTAAGACCCTAGCTTGGAGTCATGCTGGTTATTGAGCTGAATTTTATTTGGTAGATACAGGCTGTGAAAAATGCTGAATCACACATTGCCTTTATGTCTCCTAATTATGCTGTGAATACCAAGCCATCTAAAGGAATAGGCTGAGAAGGGTTCTTTCCCAAACAGCGCTGGAAGTATTCAGATGAGCTTCAATCAGAAAAGGAGGGAAGTCTCTTTAGGACATCAGATTATCCACAACTGGAAGTAAAACAACTTTGGGTAATTCCCTCAACATAAAAAGGACATGGAACTGTTGGAACAAGTCCAGAGGAGGGTCACAAGGATGATCAGGGGACTGGAACACCTCCCATATGAAGAGAGGCTGGGAAAGTTGGGGCTGTTCAGCCTGGAGAAGAGAAGGCTGCGTGGAGACCTCATAGCAGCCTTCCAGTATCTGAAGAGGGGCTATAGGGATGCTGGGGATGGACCCTTCATTAGGGACTGTAGTGATAGGACAAGGGGTAATGGGTTAAAATTTCAACAGGGGAAGTTCAGATTGGATATAAGGAAGAAATTATTTACTGCAAGGGTGGTGAGGCACTGGAGTGGGTTGCCCAGGGAAGTTGTGAAAGCTCCGTCCCTGGCGGTGTTCAAGGCCAGGTTGGACAGAGCCTTGGGTGGCATAGTTTAGTGTGAGGTGTTCTTGCCCCTGGCAGGGGAGTTGGAATTAGATGATCTTAAGGTCCTTTCTAACCCTAACTATTCTTTGATTCTATGATTCCATGATTTAAAAAGATACTTAAACCAGATGTCTGACAATGAGAATCAGATGATATTAAATTTACTTGAAGTATTTCCTGAATGTAATCTTGATGGAATGCAAGTATTCTTAAAATAAAAAGCAAATTTTGCCATGTTTGGACTAGTCTCATAATAGGTCTTTGCCTTACTTATAGGTAAAATGTTTGGAATCATTACACAATGTGATGGCCTTCAGTATAGATTTTCTGTTGTCATGTTCACAAACAGATCATAAATGAGGACATTTTCTGTTCCAACTCTACAAAATTAGTGTGGGGTGGGTTTTTTTTATGTTGTTGCTTTTTTGGGGGTGTTTGTTTGTTTGTTTTGGTGGTGGCTGTATTTTTCTCCTCGTAGGACCACTCTTGGTGGTAAAGTTTAGCACAAATTGGAATAATACATAGAGAATTATAATTGTTCTAACAGTTTTGTTCAGTTTGCTTCAAAAAACAGTGGGGAAACTGCAGAAGCAGCTCACTTCCTACATTGTCAAAGATAATCTCTCACTTCATTTCCAACTCCATACTTCAGATTCTGATTTGAAGCAGTTCTTATTTCTGAAGCAGAGGAGAAGATTATTTATATTCAAATTTTAGCATTGTATTTTTTTAATAGGGAGAATGAGTTGCTATGTTATGACCTCAAAAGTTAGACACAAACACCCAGAATTATTAAAAGAATGAAGTGTTTTCTATTACACTGTAAACCAATATCAAATCTAATAAAAATCCTGTCATTATTTTAGACACCAGCACAAAATAAGCCAATTCTGCAATATACTGAAAATATCTTGATTCGTCATCTTAGTAATATGTTACACTAATACACAAAGTAAAGTGCAAAAAACAAATGGGTACAATATAAAAATTTGTAGCCTGCCTGAAAATATTCTCATGTAACATGTACGTAAGCCTGGGGCAATGCAGTGAATCTTATTATTGTTCTAATAAAGCAACAAAAGCAAGCATTTCAGAGGTCATGCTTTCCAATAGCAATTAAATGAGTTTTATACACAATTTAAAATTTTGTGTAACCTTAATAAAGGTTACACAACACCTTAATAAAGGATATTAAAGCTTACTACTAAGAGATCATCAGGTTGCTGATTTCCATCCACTTCAATAAGACGCTCACAATCCTGTTCAGCCATCAAGTCCTGTTTAAGAACAAAGACATACTCATCAAATCAGTATAGTTAACAAGATAATGACACTGAAGCTCATTCTGTTCCTATACATATCAAAGGCTGGACTCCTGTGGACTCTGCAAAACCAAGATTTTTGGCGTAAATCATTTGATAAGTCATACTGATGACTTAAAAAACCTTCTCAAGAGAAACTTTTATTTGGTGATGTTTAAATACAGAGAGAATTAAAAAATTGGAATAACAGTGAGTTCAGAAAACAAATATCCTAGCTCAAATGCAAGAGAGCTACAAAGAATCAAGACACAGTAACATTTTGCATACAAATTCAACTTCTAATTGTCTAACTACCCCAATTCTCTTTTGGAAAATGGTGGCAGTGTCAATTAACAGATCTCTTGGAAATACCACCAACAAAACCAATGTTTTAATTTTGGTCCCAAAGCACAATTTCTATAAAATTCTAGAAATACCTTTGATTTTTCTTATTTTCAATATTCCCATTAGTAAATAAGATATTAGACTAAAACACACATCCCATGTCAGTTGTTAATGTCTCTGACTGAGGATTGAGAACATTTACTCCATTCCTGTCAGATGTTGGCCTGACCCCAGCCGTGAAAATGCCTAATAAAGGTGACTTTACAACTTTACAACTTAACTTACAGGCAATCTGTTCTGGTTCTTTACTACACTTACAGCCAGAGTGTATTTCCCTGCATCTAGTCTAATTCTTTTATACTATAAATTATTTGTCATATATTTGGTAGAAATAGATCACTAATTACTTCTTTCTGTTACTCTTCTACAGAGAAGATAATAGTGTTTATTTTATATGCAATGGTCTTATTGGTACATCCATAATACTTGCTTCTGTACAATAGGATCATATTTATTGACTCAGTTTTCAACTAGTTATTTCACATGTTGCAGTTGTTCAATAGGTTTTCCCCTAACTGTAGTATTTCACTACAAGTCTAAGTAAGACCTACCAACTAGTGGAACATGTTGAAAGTGCTGAAGTTCGGTGTACAATGTAAAGTCAGTTAATTTAAACAACTTTCCATTAGTTCACTTATGAGAAATCCATGTGAGATTGTGTAATGATTAATGATAACAACTCTTCGCTTTTCCCTTTGCAGCAGTAACAAATTTGTTACGTGAGCAAAGAACATTGAGCCAGTTTTATACAATTTTATCTATAGTTATCTAATCCATAGCAAAATTGATGGGGATAAATAAACAATAATTGTCATGTGCAGCAAGCATGAGGCTTTTGCATTTGTTTGTATCAGAAGGAAAAAAAAAAACAAAAGGGGGGGGAAAGAAAACAAATTATTGCTTTGGACCTGGTCTGGGGTTTGTCTTTTGTGGGGGGAGAAGAAAGATGCATAGTAAATCCAATTTTCATGAACCCAAGGAAATTAAAAAGCAATATCACAGCTGCAGAAATAAAATAGGTGACAAAGCAAACTGATGGGCCAATTAATGTGTATATAGATCTGCAGGCAATGGAGCAAGAGAGGAAGGGAACCTATTGGAGTGGAAGTCAATGGATGAAAGAGCAGATTTGTTATAGGACTGCACTCTAGAATGGACTTCAGTAATGGTGATACATTGAGCTCTTCAAATACTTCACTTCCTTGATTTAGGAAGCATCTGTGGTGGCAGGTACAATTTCACTTTTAGAACTCAAAGTGGATTAATTTGTCTTGATTCCAGAGTGGAAACAACACCAACAGATGACAACTTTGTATCATTGATTTCAATATGAATTTCAGAACTTGCAGGTATGTTCTAACATGCCTTGTACCCATATCCATACCATAAATCTCAAACTAATAAAACCAATCCAACAATGAAAACCATGCAAGATATTTTTAAAAAAAATATTTTGTTATGTATAATCACATTATTTTGCTTTTTCTTACTTCTAAAGGATGAAGCATAATATCCTTATACTTTCCAACTCTTTTCTCTGCATTTTCAAGAAAATCTTCAGGCCTCTGCACTAACTGATGCAAAAATTCTGACTTCTTAAGTGTATCTTCTTCAGTCTGCAGAATGAAAGTTAAATATTTAAAGATACAGAAATAATATCTAAACTATTTTTTGTCTTTATTCAAAGGTAAATAAAATAGATTTCCAGTGTATTGCAATGAGTATCAGTCCACTGATTGCTGACTGTGATCCTGTACTGATGAAGTGTAGTTTCTGCAAATTCAGAGGAGTGTGACTAGAACTTGCAGTTGTAAGTCTCTGGCCAGTATTATAAATCAGAATAATTCAACCTGAATTCAATATTAATACCTTAACGAAAAGGGGAAAAAAAAAAGAAAATCCATGTGTAGTATTCTAACAACTAAATCAGAAAACAAGCTGCTATGCTGCAAATACTAGTAAAAATTACAATAAACAAAATTTTAAAACTTTTTTTTTTTTTGCTTAGACCAAGAAACAGGCGATATGGAGTCATACTTCTCCTTATACACCCTTTTAACTTATGGCCAGGTTGATGGGACTTTGAGAAACATGGTCTAGTGGCAGATGTCCCTGCCTATGGCAGGTGGGCTGGAACTAGATGAGCTTTACAGCCCCTTCTAACCCAAACCATTCTATGTTTCTATGAAAATTGTTCTGCTTTGTCAAGAGTACATTATAATACTTTGCACTCTTTAGATGTTAGCAATATTTACCTGTTCTTCCAGCTCTTTGTCTTCTTCTGCTTCATTGTCTTCTTCCTGCTGGCCTTTCTTTTTCTTATGCTTTTCTAGTATGTCAGGATCCCACTGGTTCCTCTGATACACCTGCCCTGAATCAGGGTGTTGTCTTTGCCCTGATATTCTTTGGCATAAGTCATAATCTGAACACTAGCAAGGAATAAGTAAAAAGAAATCATGTGTTTATTGTACTGCCATAATAATACTATTTTTTTCTGAAACTGCATAATGGGGGGTAAGAGTCTGACAAATATTGGGATTCATAAACTTTTCCCATGACATTCTGAGTAAACATGAAATTTTCAAAAGCAGCAAATATTAAAGAAAGACTTAAACACTTGCATAGTTTTTCTCCATCAGCATTTTACATTCCGTATCAGGAGTGTAATCACTAGAGCACATTTTACCATGCAAGTTATACTTTGCAGTATAACAAGTGTAGGTGCAGTTTACAGATAAAAGTACTTTGCAGATAGGCTTATGCTTGCTCTTTCAATTTATGCCAAAGTGGTTTGGACTTGAGCAAGATTAAGTTAATTTTACAAGGTGCCTCTGACCTCTCAGAGTTCTACTATTACCCAAAAGCATAATGCTATTGTGTCAGAAGCTAAAGGAGTTCAGCAGTTTGGATCTCTGGAAGAGAAAGAAATGGTCTTTCTATAAAAGCCTTTCAGACACAAACTTAGTTTAACATTAAACACAGATAAATCTGTATGTGGTATGTGGTGGTAGAATTATTAAGACTTAAGATTTGAGAGGTTTGCCTAAAAAGTTTATCCTAACTAGAACATTCCTAACTAAACATCCTAACTAAAACATTTACCCTAACTAAAACATTCCTTTCAGCTAAAAGCTAACAATCTCTGACTGTTTCTGCTTCCCTGCTTCTGAGCTAAGTTAATACTGGCTGTGCCACTAAAATATGCTCCACGAGAGTCTTCTTACTACATTGTCACATTATGTACTATTTGATTGCTCCTTAGAATTGTGGCTGTTAGCAAGATACCTGGACTTTGGATACCTGACTTTGCAACACTGAAAGGATTGTTTTTCCTTAACTCTTTCTTTTATCTCTTTTTTTTTTTCACCTGAAACAAAAAGCTCGTTCGGTCTTTGCAATCACTCAGCAGAGGACAAGGGATCAGAAGAGAAGATAGATGAATGTTCACTGTGATCATAGTTAGTAAAGCTTCTACCTTAGCTGTCCTGAGCTATATGTGCATTAATACACACTTAAAGTCCCCAGATCTCCAACAGGTCTTAAGATAGATACCATAAAATTCTACCATGGCATTGGAGGTGGGCCACACTAAAAAATAAATAATATTTCTTCCTTTCTAATCACTGGCACTTACCCTTCAGACATATATGAAAAACCTGAGATAACACAAAAATACTGTACTTAGAATCACAGAATCATAAAATAGCTACGGCTGGAAAGGACCTTAAGATCATCTAGTTCCAACACCCCTGCCACGGGCAGGGACACCTCACACTCAACCAGATCACCCAAGGCTCTGTACAACCTGGCCTTGAACACTGCCAGGGATGGAGCATTCACAACTTCCCTGGGCAACCCATTCCAGTGCCTCACCATCCTAACAGGAAAGAACTTCCTCCTTATACCCAATCTAAACTTTCTTTTTTAAGTTTTAACCTATTACACCTTGTCCTATCACTACAGTCCCTAATGAAGAGTCCATCCCCAGCATCCCTATAGCCTCCTTTCAGATACTGGAAGGCTGCTATGAGGTCTCCATGCAGCCTTCTCTTCTCCAAGCTGAACAGCCCCAACTTTCTCAGCCTATCTTCATATGGGAGGTGCTCCAGTTCCCTGATCATCCTCGTGGCCCTCCTTTGGGCTTGTTCCAACAGTTCCATGTCCTCCTTATGTTGAGGACACCAGAACTGCACACAATACTCCAAGTGAGGTCACACAAGAGCAGAGTAGAGGGGCAGGATCACCTCCTTCCACCTGCTGGTCATGCTCCTTTTGATTCAGCCCAGGATACGGTTGGATTTCTGGGCTGTGAGCGCACACTGCCAGCTCCTGTTAAGTTTTTCAGTGACCAACACCCCCAAGTCCTTCTCCACAGGGCTGCTCTGAATCTCTTCTCTGCCCAACTTGTAGCTGTGCCTGGGATTGCTCCGACGCAGGTGTAGGACCTTGCACTTGGCATGGTTAAATTTCATGAGTTTGGCATCAGCCCAGCTCACAAGCATGTCAAGGTCTCTCTGGATGGCATCCTTTCCCTCCAGCGTATCAACCGAACCACACAGCTTGGTGTCATCACCAAACTTGCTGAGGGCGCACTCAATCCCACTGTCCATGTCACCTATGTCACAAAGATGTTGAACAAGACCTATCCTGACACGGATCCCTGAGGGACACCACTCGTTACTGGTCTCCAGCCAGACATTGAGCCATTGACCACAACTCTTTGCATGTGGCCATTCAGCCAGTTCTTTATCCACCCAGTGGTCCATCTATCGAATTGATGTCTCTCCATCAGTTCTGTAGCTCTATCATAGAAGGCCATCAAATTGGTCAGGCAGGATTTCCCCTTAGTGAAGCCAGGCTGGCTGTCACCAAGCACCTTGTTGTTTTTCATGTGCCTCAGCATGTCTTCCAGGAGAATCTGCTTCAAGATTTTGCCAGGCACAGAGGTGAGACTGACTGGTCTGTATTTTGCTGGGTCATCCATTTTCTGTTTCTTGAAAATGGGGGTTATATTTGACTTTTTTCCAGTTGTCAGGAACTTCACCTGACTGTCATGATTTTTCAAATACAATAGCCAGTGGCTTAGCAGCTTCATTCCCAAGCACCTTCAGGACCCACAGATGGATTTCATCAGGTCCCATGGATCTGTGCACGTTCAGGTTCTTAAGATGGTCTCAAATCAGATCCTCTCCTGCAGTGGGCCCAAGGTCTTCATTCTCACAGTCCCTGTGTCTGCCTTCCAAGACTTGGGTGGTGTGGTCAGAGCATTTGCCAGTGAAGACCGAGGCAAAGAAGTCATTCAGAACTTCTCCAAATCCAGGGTAGCCAGTTCTCCTGATAGCTTCTGGAGGGGGCCCATGTTGTCCCTAGTCTGTCTTTTATTTGCAATGTACCTATAGAATCCCCTCCTGTTATCCTTAATATCCCTACCCAAATTTAATTCTAACTGGGCCTTAGCTTTCCCAGCCTGGTCCCTAGCTTCCTGGACTGCATCTCTCTATTCTTCCCAGGCCACCTGTCCTTGCTGCCACCTTTGTAAGCTTCTGTTTTCCCCTCAAAGTTTCCTCAGCAGCTCCTTATCCATCCAAGAAGGTCTCCTGGCCCTCCTACTGCACTTCCTTCTAGCTGGGATGCAACACTCCTGAGCTTGTAGTAGGTGATCCTTGAATATCATCCAACAGTCTTGGGCCCCCCTGCCCTCTAGGGCTATATCCCATGGAACCTTACAAAGGAGGTTCCTGAAGAAGCCAAAGTCTGCTCTCCTGAAGTCCAGGGCAGTGAGCTTGCTGCACGCTCTTCTCACTGTCCTGAGGATCTCAAATTTGACCATCTTGTGATCACTGCAACCAAGGCTGCTATGGAGCATCACATTTCCAACGAGCCCTTCCCTGTTGGTGAGCACAAGGTCAAGCATGGCACCTCTCCTTGTCAGCTCCTCTATTACTTGCAGAAGGAAACTGTCTTCCACACAATCGAGGAACCTCCTGGATTGCTTCTGCCAGGCTGTACCATCCCTCTAACAGATATCAGGGTGGTTGAAGTCCCCCATGATGATAAGGGCCTGTGAGCGTGAGGCTGCTCCTATCTGTCTATAAAGTGCTTCATCCACAGAGTCCTCTTGATCAGGCATTAAGATCAAATTGTCACAGAAACAGAAAATTGATTTCTACAGAAAATTCAAGGCTTTTGAGATTGCATTGCTAGCAATAGGTCCACTACACTCATTTCCTGAGGTATCTCTTGAAGTATTACAATAATTTAGGGTATTTCTATATTTCTACAGTCATGTAGCTGACATGACTGCTATATGACACAGCATATTTTGAAACAGGGAAGGAGAAATTTGATCTGATATGTTTTCTGCTTTGAAAAGTGCATTTTCTGTCCTTTTTCTTGGAGGGAAAATATTTCTCTAAATTGGTCTGCTAATAACAGTATTTCATCATTTCCAGAGTTATCTAGAATCTCCCTTCTCCCTTTCTTTTTGATATAATGAAAATGGTTACAATTCTAACATACTTATGAAAACAGCTTGAACCCACTGAAATCAAAAGCGATATTATACATTTGACTTTGGGACAAGGATTTTGAATGAGCACTCAGTCTCAGTCATCTTCCCAGGGGAGAAGATGATGTAACTGCGTGAAGTCAAGAATTCTGTGTTCTTTCTAGTGTAGTTAGTATCACTCTTCTATTTGTACTGTTGCACATGAAACTATACAACATATCTTCTCAAGAACTAGGATTTCTCAGTATCTGGTGTTGAAACAAAGATGGACTTTCTGTAGCTGAAAAAAAAAAACTGCCAGAGAAGCAGCACACTGATACGTTTCTCTGATGTTTGAAGATCTTTCTATGAGCACAGAAAGAAAGCTTTAAAATAGGCACTCACAAATTTTCATTATGGTCAAACAAACTAAGTCTCGAAAATATGACTTTCACAGAATTAGATCTTGCAAAGTCATAGACTAGGTCCATATATTGGAATTTAGTATCTGTCTAACCACATAGATATTACAGCTACAATCAAAATCCCAATAAGAATGTAGCACAACACCAGAGGCTGATTTTTCAGAGTTGGCTTGGCAGCTCTTTCTGCACATTCAGAGTAAAAGATGGAAATACTCTAGCTGATAAAAAAAATTGCAAGAGGAAAGGACTGAGCCCTTGTTCATTATTATATATACCACTACTTCATCTGCATGGAATCTGGCAAAACTTGGTGTGGGCCAGCTAGTATTCTCCCCTGGTAAATAGCTGGGCACAATCTGCAGAATGTCACAAGCCTGGGTTTTTTCCCAGCAGGCAGTTTGGACACAGCCATGCCATTCTGGCTAACAAGATAGATGAACTGTGTTCTGCCAAAGCAGTTGGCTTGATGCCTGAAGAGTCACTCTTGATTCGTTTTATTTACTAATATGTACGTAGCCGGCAAGTCCATTCTTCGAAGTTACACTGAGTAGGTCTTCTTAATCCTATACTAACAAAGATTTGTATTTCTCTCTCTATGATAATATCAGAGTTACTTTTGTAAAACGCCTGGTCTGTCACATTACTGTCATGAAGAAATTGAGATTTGTAAGTGAGAGGAGTTAATAGTAACTAAGAAGCAGTTTCACAATTATTGAGTACAAAATGAAACAATTAGCTCTCTAACATCCGTATATGAAAAGGTTCTTCCAGAAACACATTCATGGCAGATGCACATGTATCCAAAATTCCGTAATAATCGTGTTATTCACAGTTTTTTTGAAAACCTGTGCCTTCTATTTGTTAGAAATGCAAAAACTAAGTGCTATTGACGTTTTAGGATAATGTTCATTATTTTACATGAGTAATACTTATAATGGAGTGAACTAGTGTAATTTCATTCCAATACAAAAGAGAAGAATTTATTATTGCTCAAAAAAATACTATGTGCAAATGCAAAAGGAAAAACATTATCTTTTGACATATGCAGCATATGAGTTCAATAGTAATTAGAAAAATTACTAGCAAGTTACTGAAGATGACATTACCTTAATGTTGATCAGGAAATCCGGTTTTAATTTTAGATTCTTTATTTTCTCTACTTGCTGTGAAACAGTCATGTATTCCTCTGACAGAGAAGGAAATCCACTGAGAACATAACCTGCCAAATGCATTTTATTAAATATACCTATTAGAAGATTATGACAAATACAGCAGAAGTTACACTCACCTCCTTTAAAAAATACATGTATTTAATGGCACAATTCTAAACCATGTACATGACATAACAGTATTAAGAAAATTCGGCACCCATGTCTACTTCAGATGAAATACAAACAAAAGGGTGTTTTCAACTTGATAAAGGGCTCTCAAAGTCTGTGAACTCAGTTAAGAAACATAAGAAAGATGTAGACATTAAAGACCATACTCAGACCACCTGCTTCATATGTCTAGCTCAGACACTGGAGCATGAAAAATTAATAAGCTTTTAGTGACCACTTTTGCTACTATAAGACTTTGTAAAAAGCATAGCAAAAGGAAGACAACCTATGATACAAAACATTTTAACTACAAGTCCAGGCTTTTTATACAGCCTTTACAGATCTTCACTTCTATGGACAATCATAGAAGTATAGAAAAGTTAGGGTTGGAAAGGACCTTAAGATTGTCTAGTTCCAACCCCTTGCCATGGGGCAGGGACACCTCACGCTAAACCAGGTCACCCAAGGCTCTGTCCAGCCTGGCTTTGAACACTGCCAGGGATGGAGCATTCACAACTTCCCTGGGCAACCCATTCCAGTGCCTCACCTCCCTAACAGGAAAGAACTTCCTTCTTATATCCAATCTAAATTTTCTTTTCTAGGATTTAACCCATTACACCTTGCCCTATCACTACAGTCCCTAATGAAGAGTCCCTCCCCAGCATCCCTATAGCCTCCCTTCAGATACTGGTAGGCTGCTATGAGGTCTCCATGCAGCCTTCTCTTCTCCAGGCTGAACAGCCCCAACTTTCTCAGCCTATCTTCATATGGGAGGTGCTCCAGTCCCCTGATCATCCTCGTGGCCCTCCTCTGGACTTTTTCCAACAGTTCCATGTCCTTTATACGTTGAGGACACCAGAACTGCACACAATACTCCAAGTGAGGTCTCATGAGAGCAGAATAAAGGGGCAGGATCACCTCCTTCCACCTGCTGGTCATGTTCCTTTTGATGCAGCCCAGGATATGGTTGGCTTTCTGGGCTGTGAGCGCACACTGCTGGCTCGTGTTAAGTTTTTCAGCAACTAACACCCCCAAGTCCTTCTCCGCAGGGCTGCTCTGAATCTCTTCTCTGCCCAACCTGTAGCTGTGCCTAGGATTGCTCTGACCCAGGTATAGGACCTTGCACTTAGCATGGTTAAACTGCATAAGGTTGGCATCAGCCCAGCTCACAAGCATGTCAAGGTCTCTCTGGATGGCATTCCTTCCTTCCAACGTATCAACCGAACCACACATCTTGGTGTCATTGGCAAACTTGCTGAGGGCGCACTCAGTCTCACTGTCCATGTCACTGACAAAGATGTTGAACAAGACTGATCCGAACTCCGATCCCTGAGGGAAACCACTTGTTACAGGTCTCCGGCTGGATATTGAGCCATTGACCACAGCTCTTTGCGTGTGGCCATCCAGCCAGTTCTTTATCCACCCAGTGGTCCATCTATCAAATTGATGTCTGTCCAATTTAGAGACAAGGATGACATGTGGGACAGTGTTCAATGCTTTGTACAAGTCCAGGTAGATGATGTCAAACGCTCTACCCCTGTCCATCAGTTCTCTAGCCCTATCATAGAAGGCCACCAAATTGGTCAGGCAGGATTTCCCCTTAGTGAAGCCAGGCTGGCTGTCACCAAGCACCTTGTTGTTTTTCATGTGCCTCAGCATGTCTTCCAGGAGAATCTGCTTCAAGATTTTGCCAGGCACAGAGGTGAGACTGACTGGTCTGTATTTTGCTGGATCATCCATTTTCTGTTTCTTGAAAATGGGGGTTATATTTGACTTTTTTCCAGTTGTAGGGAACTTCACCTGACTGCCATGATTTTTCAAATATAATGGCCAGTGGCTTAGCAGCTTCATTCCCAAGCACCTTCAGGACCCGCAGATAGATTTCATCAGGACCCATGGATTTGTGCACGTTCAGGTTCTTAAGATGGTCTTGAACCAGATCCTCTCCTGCAGTGGGCCCAAGGTCTTCATTCTCACAGTCCCTGTGTCTGCCTTCCAAGACTTGGGTGGTGTGGTCAGAGCATTTTTTTAGTAATTTTTCACAATAAATTGAGCCTGAATAGCCCTTTGGGATACACAGTGCTCATGGAACTTAAATCCTCTCAAAAGGAGGCACCAGGAACACAGTGTGCATATTGAAGCACCTAACTTCACAAGCCTCCATTTACTCAGGATTCACAATGCTGAGTCCTCTTTGGCAGACAGACACCAAATGTCTTGTGGTAATAATACCTTCTTCCTAGTATCAGAGTGCTCAGCCTGACACATGAACTTATGGCTTCAAATTCGTGGGGTAGTACTGTAGCTACTAATGGCTGCATGCAGTGCAGTAAGAACTACTGTATAGCAAGGAACTCAATATTCATGAGGCCAGAATGAGAGACTAAACAACAATCAGGTGAATTTTTTAAGTCTAATAGTGAGAATTTTCCCTCAGAGAAATGGTTCATGCTCAAAATGCATAGAACTTTATGTAATAACATTTAAACGCAAGACTAGTACAAAAACATAGTAGTCTTTGTAAGAGGTATTAGGACTGAAGATGACTCTTTCTTTGGGGATCTATTATCCATACATGCAAAATTTATATCGTCATTCCTCTAGGAAGCACACAGTGACCCACATCTTGAGTGTTTCCATGCGAGCTCATTTGAGCTTTCTCACTGGGGTGTGGATTAGAAGACTGCAGCAAATAATGGCACACGCAAGGCTAGAGCACCCACCTTTCCCACAGAAAGTGTGTGTAGATAGGTCAATATGCATTCTTGGAAAAGAGACTGTGTGCTTGTAAATTGTCCGTGTTTGAGACAGGGTTTGCATGTTCAAGTATACTGTTTGGAATTAGTTTCAGGAGGGTGTTCAGAAATTTGCAGGTGTTGATTAATATTTGGCAAGTGCCTAGTGCTGTGGATTGTCTGTTTTGTGGCTAATATTGAACCTTTTCACAGATCACCAGTTCATTGATTATCAGTTAATTGCTTGTCCTTAATAACTATAAACAACTTTGGTCCTGATATAAGTCAGACTAATTGAACAGTTTCCCTGTGACATAGATTTTTCATTTGTAAATATCATTTAGGTTAACATATGAACTTCTGGTTGTTTTCTTACTCTATTAAAAAAAATAATTAGCAAGCATGTCAGCTAAATAGGGCTTATAATTCTGTATTTCCTTACCTACAATACCCTAAGTTATGTTTCCATTCCCTAACTTATTTTTTAAAAAGACATTATCTCAAGAAATAGCTTCATATCTGACCTTCAGAAGTACAAAAAAAAAAAAAAAAAAACCACAACAAAAACAGTTTTTACTGACTTAAAATTTTTTTTAATAACTTGCTTTAGGACTTCCAAATAACTTTGACAAATCAGTCTCCAACATGTGTTTATTATTTAAGTCAGAAGAATATAACTGAAAATACCTTACTGCGTGTACTGTTTGGAAACTTCTATTTTACAATGTTAAAACTAAATGTTCAAAGTAAAAAACATTTTGAACTAAATGTTCAAAGTAAAAAACCCTCTCATGCAAACTGTTTTTAAAATCTTTAATGAATAATTAACAGTGAATTGACTGATTAGTTCCTGCTGAAAGTCTACTTAAGCTTTCCAAGGATTATATTAATATCATTGTTGCTAAATAAAAAATCGTAAGAACTAGAAAATACTTAAAAATTGGTTTTGGAGCTGAGATCTAGTTTGCAGGATAAATAGTAAGAATTCTACTCCTTGCTACTTTGGGGCACCTGTAATATAGAAAATGGCTTGGCTACAAAAACCCAGACTTGTATCAATTTCATAGACATGTTTCCAGTCTCTAGGATCTTTGTAGTACTCTGTGATAGACACATTTTAGGCATTCATCACCAGTGTGACTCAGAGGGGAACTCAGATAACATCTCTTCGTGCTTCTAATAAAGACCTGACATGGATTAAGAGACTGGCAGTTCTGGTGCTACTTCCTCCCTCATAATTTTGTTTCTTCATAATCTCCTTTTTAAAAAAGTTCTCTATTTCTCTTTTGCATAGTGTTTTAAAAGCCTAGTTTCACCAGGTAAGGCTGCAACTGTTGCAAAACTGTTGAGTCTTGGACTAGGAAAGGAACAAAAGCCATTGCAACTGAAAGTTCATAGAAGCGTGCTAGCTTTCAGAGCAGTAGAATGTTACGTTTGTAACATTTTCTTGTCACTATATCTGTCTCTCTCCTATAATGGAAATTTCAAATAAGAGCAGCAGCAGGAAAAAGAAACTACATTTTCTTTTACTTTCTTTCCACTTAGCAATATATTTGTTTTCTCTTCAGAAAAACACGTTCAGATTCTAGCAAAGATCTACAGTGCTAGACTTAACAGCCTCAATTAACATCATCTTTCCTCAAAATCTATCACTACCAAGACTATTCTCATCCAACTTATTCCCAGTGACAAGAGACAAAGCAAATAAACAATTTTGTAAGAAGAAAAAAAAAAAAAGGGCTAATAGTTTGCATTTTCAATTTTTTTTTTTTTTTTTGCTGTCTTGTTTCCCTTCCTCATTATTTTAAACGTTCAATATATTTTTGCCAGTGGGATTTTGTTGTTGTTGTTCTTACAGAAATATTCAAGAGAAAAAAATCTGTATTTTAAGCCATAGAACTTTTCTAACCAGATACTACTGTTAAATGAGAATCATAGGAACACTTAAAATTTGGGGCAAATTCATTTTCTCAAAATTAACACAACATAGGACTGGTATGACACTTTCTGATCTCCCATATTAGTAAATTCATCCTTAAATACATTCTCAGTTTAGAAGTATTCCACAACTTAAGGAGCACAAGAAAAAGTTCTACTGTCTAAAATAAATTATATTTGAGCAGTAATGGATGCAAAGTGTATCATAATTGTAGCCAGCTCATTCTAAGAAGCTTAAGTTATAAATATACTTACCAAAATGAGTAACTTGTGGTGACTCAATCTTTTTCAGAATCATTTCTGTAACCAGTTCTTCGGAAATACTTTGACCTTTAAAAAGCAACTCTTGACACTAAGGTAAAATTCAAAACGTAGTCTTACATAATATGTATTTCTCAAGAATGTGACAAAACTCAGTGAAAGGTAAGACATTTACCTTAAACCCATACTCTGTTTTTTCTTGAATATTTGTTTGGATTACTTCCAAAGCTGAGGAAACACATTAGACGGAATAAATTTAAAATAATTAATAAAACACATATTCTATAAAGACATGTACATGCAGATACATACATACACAGTCACACATAGGAGTATGAGTATATCTTTCATCCAGAGACGATATTGTCTTTAGCCACAGAGTGTGTCTTTCTAAGTTACAGCAACTTAAATCTTTTATTTCATTCCCTTAGTAACTTATCCCGAGCTCCAGTACTGGAAAATCTTAATATTGTAAAGCCTTAATATTGATCTTAAGGCTCCTGGGCTGTATCAAAAGGAGTGTGACCAGCAGGTCAAAGGAGGTGATCCTGCCCCTCTACTCTGCTCTCGTGAGACCTCACTTGGAGTATTGTGTGCAGTTCTGGTGTCCTCAACATAAAAAGAACATGGAACTGTTGGAACAAGTCCAGATGAGGCCACGAGGATGATCAGGGGACTGGAGCACCTCCTGTATGAAGACAGCCTGAGAAAGTTGTGGCTATTCAGCCTGGAGAAGAGAAGGCTGGGTGGAGACCTCATAGCAGCCTTCCAGTATCTGAAGGGGGCATATAGGGATTCTGGGGATGGACTCTTCATTAGGGACTGTAATGATAGGACAAAGGGTAACAGGTTAACACTTAAACAGGGGAGGTTGAGATTGGATGTAAGGAAGAAGTTCTTTACTGTAAAGGTGGTGAGGCACTGCAATAGGGTGCCCAGGGAAGTTGCGAATGCTCCATCCCTGGTGGTGTTCAAGGCCAGGTTGGACAGAGCCTTGGGTGACCTGGTTTAGTGAGAGGTGTCCCTGCTCATGGCACAGGGGTTGGAACTAGATGATCTTCATGTCCTTTCCAACCCTAACTATTCTATGATTCTATGTATGTGTGCTCCAAGCAACCAGACTGTTTTTGAATGAACAGCTATTATATTTAGGGCCATTATTATATTTTGTCATCCAGAACTTGGTACCTTCTGGCAATGTCTGGGTAGATGACTTCCCTACTCTCTAATCCTACAAATAATACCAATAAATGCACAACAGAAGCCTTGCAGGATTACTTTAACTAATGACTTATAGCAAATTGGCATTACTGCTGTGTAATACAGATATGTTTTTGAGCTCAAACACTTCACAGATTTTAAAAGTAGGGTTTAGAAAAAGAACTGTTTAGACACACAGAACTATCTGATTTTAAAAAGATCTTAAAAAAACATTCCTTATATAGTCTAATTATCTAAAATTAAATAAATATTAAATTTAACACCCATTAAATTCAAACACCTGTTTTCTGTCTCCATGAACAGCAACATCATAGCAGAATTATCCTGGAAGTCTTTCACACTTCTATACCATTGAAAGAAGCAAACACTTAAAAGTTTTCAAATACCCTTAAGACCACATCTATCTTATTGATAAACTAGGCCAGGGAAAGGTCCTGAAGCCAGGTGACTGATACCTATATATACAGCTAAAATCTTTCTTCCTAAAACCTGGCGGCTGTTTTCAAACTGTTCCTAGTAGTAATGATGACTTGCTGATACTATTCTTCATACTGTGAATAGGTGCTTAGGAGAACAGTATTTGCCATAGGCCAAAACTGAGACAGGAAATGTACTAAGCAATACAAATAACTGAAAATCAGCACTGTATACATACCCTGACCCTGATTTATTTATGAGTATAAATTATTTACCAATTAATTGGAGAAATTGATAGAAAGTATTATGTGAAATTAAAAAGACTGCAAACTATTCCATTGAATAATTCTCTAGCATCTTGGATTATTTTTTAACAGATACTGATACACTGGAGTGAGTCCATTGGAGGGCACCAAGATGATTAGAAGTGCTGAGCATACTAGGAGCAGTCAAAAGAACTGACCTTGTTCAGCCTGGAGAAAACAGGATAGCTCCTACTGCTGTCTAAAACCACTTACTGGCAAGGCACAAAGACAGAACCACTCCTTTCACAGAAGTGCAGATGGGACAGGAAGCACCACACACAAGCAGGAACATGAGGAATTCCAGGGGGGTAATTAGGAAGCAATTTTTCATTGTGAAGGTAGTCAAACATTGCAAAGTGTTGCCCAGAGAGGTCATGGAGTCTCTGTCCTTAGAGATACTCCAGATTCAGCTGGACATAGTCCTCAGCAACCTTCACTAGTTGATCCTGCTTTGAGTGGAAGGTTGGACTCAATGACCTCTGGAGGTCACAGAATCATATAACGGTTTGAGTTGGAAAGGACCTTAAAGCTCATCTAGTTCCAGCTTTATGCCATAGGCAGGAACACCTTCCACTAGACTAGGTTGCTCAAAGCCCCCTCCAACCTGGCCTTGAACACTGCCAGGATGTGTAGAGGATGACTAGCTAAAAATTACTTCTCCCACATTCATGTTTATATATGTTGAATTTCTTTGTTTCTTTGGTTTTGGTTTTTTAATGTGGAAAATTAAAAAAATTGATAGACATTTGTCAGTAGGGGTTTAAATACATTCAAACAGTGTGGATTGGCTTAAGTACGTTCCTAAGATCGCTTTGAATTTCGTTCTGATCTATGTTTTAGACCAAGCATTAATATTTTGTTGGCCAATACTATGAATTAAAAAAATTCTATTTACATAAGTCAAAATAGAACTTTATTAAAACAGAATTTTACCATGTTATAATTCAAAATCTTCAAAATAAAATAAGGACACACCATTTGGTAAATAACCCTACATACTCACAGGAATAAAAAGTGTTACACTATCCACTAGAGGGATTTTATTAGAATAATAAAAAATGCCAGGGGACACATTTAAAAGAAAAAAAAAAAAAGGCAATGAAAATGGATACATAGTTTTTTCATAAACAGAATAACTGTACACATATGCACCATAAAATCAGATTTATAACTTGGTGTTCCCAAAGAGGCACTCAAGAAACTAATTCATAGTTAAGGTTATGATGTGCTTTCAGTGTTTCCACTTAAAAAATTATATTAGCCTTCAAACTTATAAGACAAATCTGGTGGAAAAGTTTTCTTTTTCATAAAACTTAAGTGAATAAATCAAGATTTGTGATTTATAATGTCACAGATACAGGGCTTAAAAAAAAAAACACCCAGATTTATTTACTGCTGACAAAATTAGTGCAAAAGAAAACTGCCAGAGAATTATTTTTTTGTGTAGGAAACTACTTTCTTGCAGAGATGCCTCAGGATATATTGAAAATAGCTGTCTAGTGATATAATGACAGGGAACAAGATAATGTTACAAGTGACGGGTTTTACTCTAGAGATCTTAAAAAATCTTTGATGGCAGAGACTCTTTAAAATGGAGCTAGATAGTTTAGAAAATGAAATTATATCTTCTATTCTGGTAAATGCATGGTGGAAGAAATTAACTACACCTTCTGAAACAAGCCATCAGATAATTTTGTTTTAGAAATTTGAAAGTGCCAGCTCCTATTCCTTCCATTATTACTCGTGCTGATCCAAAAACTACATTTCTGGTTCATGGAGTTCCTGGAGTCCCCCTTTGTATTAGTTACTGCACAAACAGAAAGGAAAGATTTTTCTTATTTTTCATGGTCTGTACTGAAAAATCTCTGTGCTCTCTGGAGTTGAATGAGTTGCCTCCATGTGAACAAGGGTCACATGAACCATCTTACAGGACTGGGAACAGAATTTAATCATGTGTTATGTATATCCCCATCTGAAAAAATTAAAACCAGAAAAATTAAAAATAAGCTGTTTTCTAATCCTCTCTACAACTAAAGGCTATCTTTCAGCAATTGCATTTCTGGAAAAATGGTTACTTGGTCCCTACTGGTAGTCCTTACCTCATTCAGAAACCTGCCATTTTGAATTACAGGCAACAGTGAGGACATTCTAAACCAAAAGCTATTATGAAGCCAATGCAATGTTCAAAATATAGTATATGTTTACCGTCTATGAAAATGCATTTCCATATTTGTGCCAATTTTCTAGCCAATGTTTTCTTTCCAGAACCCTTAAAATAAAAAATACACATTTAAAAGGAAAACAGGTACAAAGAAAAAAAACCCAACCAACCAACCTAAAAATATTACACAATAAGGAATACGTTTTCACATGCTAAAAGCAATTAAAAGCTACCACCAGGATTAGGACCTCTGAGTTATGCATAGACACATGGACAAACACAAACATTCTTTTTAATACCATCCTTTATTTTAACGGCCCAGCATTGCTAATATACTGTGACTGCCTTTTGCCATTAATTATCTTGAAAGTAATCACATTGACTTTGTTTCTGAGTATCTCTATCTAAAATTCAGCTATGATTTGCCCATAAATTCCTATGAGAAGTTCATTAGGACTCAATTTTATTACCTTCAGTCTCAAAGCAAATTATGATGCAAATCTGATAAGATTTGAGTAAGATACAGAGGAATAATATTCTTTGACTAAACCACTGAATATAAAAAACCTGCTCTTGTTAGTCCACAAACCTGGTTTAGATACTGACAAAATGTTTATTTTATTGCTTACATGAATCCTGAGGAAACAGAACCAAGAGTAATGAGGCCTCTAAGGTCTACCTGCGAGGTACAGCTGCAGAAATGGGATTTTGCAAAACTCACCACCTTCTACCCTTAGGATTATGTCCTTTTCTCAAGGACATACAAAACCACCTTTTTTGACAGTCTGTTTGCCCTAGATAAATTCTATTATTAAAAAATAGTAAAAATCCCACATATAAACACATTCTCAGTTAAGAGTGTATCAGTAAACACTCCAGCCTACTCATACCTTTTATCTTACAGGTGTGATGAGAATATATACATATGGCTTTGCTTTAACAGCAATGTGATTAATTTAAAAGATGTATCTTAAATAAGATAGATGATCTACACAACAGCTGCCATATAGATATTATCATAAAAGCAGAATTTAATTCCTTTCTCTTCTGCCCAGGCCTGTGCAATTTCAAACCTTTGTTAAAATTTGCATTAATATCAAGCACCTACTGAGGGCACTGATTTCAGATGAGAATATATATTTATTCAATGGCTTTTGCATTGTCTTTTAATGAGTATTTTATGCTGGTTTGTTCTATAAAAATGTAAAATTATCTTCTTTGTGTAAAGTTACAAATTCTATGTTTAAAATAAGGCAAGCCAGTCTGCTGTAGTTTTCTACTGAGCTGAATACACTGTTTCATCGTGAACCTAAGGAACACTTTTGGCTATCACCTTAGATAGTCTCACTTTGATGTTTGCATCTCATCCACTTGCATAACACCACCCTGCCTCCTTTCTCAGTTTGGTCAGATGTAAAGATTTGCAGTCAAGCATTACCTAGCAACTAGAGCCAAGGAGCAAAAAAGGATGTACAACTGTGCAAACAAACACTAGGGTTGAAAGCCTTCCAGCCCGCTGAAAGTCTTTAAAGAAAGGAAACATAGCCGCATCTTAGCACTATGGCCATTTCCCATGATATAACTTGCCACCATCATGTGACTATGTGCTGGTATACTGCACCACAGCATGGCTCTACATTAGTGCATGGTGTGGAGCAGAGCGGGACTGGGGCTTGACTTGGTGGGTCAACTGTCATCAAAGTTTGGGTTGATTGCCAGTTCTAGGTGCACACTGTCTGCCTTTCTACCTGCTAGGCACAGCAAAGCAAATTTCCATACTGTGGTTTCAGGCTCTGTTGTGGTAGCTAACAGAATCACACACAAATGCAGAGGGCAGACTGCTAGAGGACCTTGCTTTCACACTGGTAATGGGGTGCTCTGAAGGCATCTTTCACAGGCAACTGCAACATTCAAGAGAAAGCAGCTTTCAGGGCACCAGTGGTATGTTTAAGTGCATACCAGATTGAGTAGACATTAGGCAGCCTTGCACCACAAAAGAACCCCCTTCAGCAAACTGATGTGCTAATGTAAAACCACATATAGAGTCTTCTAAATTTAGGAAAAAAAAAATAAAAGTCTAGGATTACAAAACATCAAATGTTCCTAAGTAAAGAAGGCCACAAATTATTTGAGAAAAAAAGACACCTTGAATTATAGTTAAAATATAGTACAAATCTCCTTACTGGAACAGCTCGGTGTATGTCAGTTATTCCCAAATATATAACATAAAATTATGTCAGTGTTTTTAGTAATAAAATATTTAATATCTCATTGCATGTCTTAAAGTCAGTATATTAACCTGATGGTTCTTTTATGCCTATTTATGTCTTTAATCTGTCAAGATTTTTACAAGTTACAACACTGAAATAAGATAAAACCAATCCAGTTGCCAATGTGAAAAGAGAAGAAACTTTTGGAGCAACATGTGACTTTTAAGTACAGTTATAACAATTTCAATTGTAACTGATTGGTCACTCAGGCCAAAATTTGGTCTCATTAAATGAGATTAGAATCTTTACCAAACTGCAGGATTTGCAAAGTGCAAAAGAGAAAAAAGTAGGTCTTTGATCATTTTGGCTGTGTTACTAATCTAATTTTTTGAGTATAAAAAGTATAACTGTTACTAGAATTTAACAGTTATATATGTTATTATATTTGAGTATAAAAGTATAACTGTTATTAGAATATCTTAAGAACAAATTTCTATTGGACATCTTACTGGCTTTCCAAGGATAATTAAACAAGTGGGTTTGGACAACAGAAAGGATTTTTCAGCTTCATCTTCACTGAAGATGTCTGCAAAGGGCTGAGCTTGTTTTTCCTCTGATGAAGCCATATATATTAGCCAGGACTGGAAAAAAAACAAAACAAAAAACCGAGCTTGCTATAAAATACATACTTGTAAAATGACACATACTTAAAAAAGGAACTGAATCATAATGTGGTGAAAGATGAATCGTTTTGTGACAAAAGCTGTTACAAGAAGAGCACCATCACTGTCAATGGAATTACTTGCTGAGTCCACAGCTGTGTATGTGAGTAAGGCTTTGTAGAATTAATTAATGATCTGTTCTGTCATCCTCACATAAATCCCAGCTCTTTTAGGACTGGGACTACACATCCAGTGCTATGCAACAGAGTAAAACAGCAGTTTCTAGTCAAGGTAAGCTGGAGCAAAATTTGGGTGGGTCTTTCCAACAGGTGGAGTCCAAAAACATGAGGTGCCTGATAAAGCCTTTTTGAAGAAGGCAAACCAAAACCTTGCTTTCTTTAGAGAAACACTTAAGTCTCAACCCCACGCCCACCCCAGTCATTTTAAAATTCTCTACTTCAGGTTGAAAATTTGAAAATGTTTGTTTTGGAACTTTAAACTGAAACACTCAGATACTTTCAGAATAAGACCTTCTGAATAACAGGGGAAGTATTTTAGTGTTAAGAAACCTACCACATACAAACCAAGCCTCCATTTCTCTCACACAAACTCACTGGCTGAACTTTATCTAGCGTTTCCAGCAGTTTCCCTCCTTCCCAAACCTTTACAACTAAGGGGCAATTTCCTAATGACAAACACCACCTCAACCAAACCAAAGACATAAACTAACCCCCCACCCCAACTAACTGGTGGGGCTTTGATCTCTCCTCCGCCCCTCCAGCACTTCCCTGGCCGGCGCCCCTCAGGGACAGGGTGGGAACGGGCGGGAAGGGGGTGGGGGGAGGGGGTGTCACTTACGTAAAACGAGTGTGGGGAGGGGGAGAGTGTGGGCGCAACGGCCGCCGCGCGCACCCGCCGCCACCGGCTGCGTACCCCCGTTACCCGGGCAACCGAAGAGCACCGCCCCCCTTCCCTTCGCCCCGCCTTTTTCCCTTCGCCCCGCCCCCCGGGAGGGGGTTGAAAGCGGAGAGCCCGCCCGCGCGGGGGCTGCGGAGCTGTTCCTGGTGCTGACCCTGAGGGGCCACAGCAGCGGCTGACGGCGCCAGCACCGCACCGCCCCGCCTGCCCTGGTGATCTCCGCGCTCCGCCCCGCCCCGCCGGTTCCACCACCCCGCGGGAGCGACGGCGCAGCCGCTCTCTGTCGCCCGCCGGTGGCCGCGCCTGCGCGGTGGCGACCCCCCACTTCCGGCTTCCACCCGTCTGGTGTGTGGGTGGCTAGTGTTAGTCCTTAGCTCCCGTGTGTCCCGTCCCTCCACACGCCCCTTCAGCAGGAGCTCGGTTGCGCTCCCGGTTGCCGGCGGGCACCCCTTTCCTCTCCTGCTCACGCCGTGCCTTGGTGCCGGGGCGAGGCTGGAGCCCTGCGCGGCCGCCATGCCGGCCGCGGCGGCCCTCATGATCAGCTCAGTGCAGAAGTTGGTGCTGTACGAGACCAGGGCTGTAAGTAGCATCTGCCCCACCGCCGCTCCCGGGGGGCGGGAAATGCACCCTGCGGTAGAAGCTGCCGCGCTGCGAGTCACACATGAAAACCTACCAACAGCTCATAAAAGTTTACTTCACCGTGTCCCTGCGCTTGAGCGAAGAGCCGGTTTCTGACCGACGTGCGGCTGGGGTGCCCAAGCCAGCCCTCCGAGCTCCGCCGAGCTGTACGCGGAAGGCCCAGTCAGTGGGGCAGGCCGGCAGCGTGAGTTCTGCGGCGGGTGAGCTGTCGGAGTTTAGGCCCCGCATGGCTCCTGCTGTTACTGCCTGCTTGTTCTGTGTGGCTTTTGCCACGTAGGGTAATAGTGCTGATTTGTCCTGTGATGAGTTAAAACTGGACAGCTAGAGTTGTCCAGAATTAAAGGTTTGAATTAAGAATTTAAACAGTATGGCTAAAGTGGTTGCCACCTGCACCCATCTGTATTACTTCTGTGACATTTCTGGTCTCATGATCTAGATGGGCTGTGGAGCAACTTCCCGGGTCTTCAAGTCTGACCTCTGGCAGTAAGCCGTTCAAGATTTTTAGCATTCCTTAATCTCCTGTTGCAGAAACAGTAGGGATGTGCGTTTGCTATGGGCAAAGTGGACTGAAGGTTTGAGTGGTAATTACTGCTTTAGCCATGTGATGAGTACCATGTGAGTCAGAATCTGGTGGTGTAAATAACCTGAGATAATACTGCTGTATTTATCATCCTTTAGCTGCCAATCAGATGTCTTTATGTGGATTTTCTTTTCTCTTAATATGTTGGGTTGTTTTTTTTCTGCTGGAGGTAGTTTTGGATAGAGTTAGGTACTATAGCTTTAAATGCAAGTTAGTTCTAAGTTCAGTTGTTACCTGCAGTGGTAGTAGAAAGATAGTTTATATACAGAAGTCAGTGTAGGCTCTTGAAAGCTTGCAAAAGTAGCACTGAAGGGAACACATCTTTGCCTGTGTGAATGGTCCCAATACACAGAAGAATCTGACTTCTTTGATTCTGTTAGAAATAGACTTGTTCTTTTGTGTCAGTTCCCCATTAAACAGCCTGGAAAATGGAGGAGGAAGGTTAAAGCGTGTAGAAATGTTAGTATCAGTAAATAAAAAAAGAAAATTGAGATTACTCTTGGTTTCCAGAATGTTACTTTTTTTCCCTTATGCCTACAGGAATTTTGATAGTTGTCTTAATAATCTTTCTCAGCATTGCTGGAAAACGTTTTATTTTCAGCTAAATTAATGCTGTATGGGAGGAGGGCAGTGGGAAAATATGATTCCTGAATTTAGTTGTTCTTGGGTCATAACTCATGCTACTTCTCGGGTAGCTGAGATTTGGCTTTTTGTGACTGGCATGCCTGGCTATCTGGTGTACTTCTCTCTGAGCTGTAAGATGCAAGTGCTGAGAGACAACATGCTGTGTATGTTGTCTCAGAGACAGTACAATGCTTTTGGGTTCTGTCTGATAGCTACAGTTCTCTAAGGCCTTCCAAGCTGATCCTGTTAGTTCAGGAACCACAGATTTTAAATCTGGCTAGTGGTAGCTAGCAATATCCACCCAAATGGACAGGTTTGCCCACGCTTTCCTGTGTTCAGAATTCAGTAAGGGGCAAATCCATCAGTTCTATCACTTCAGGAGGCAAGATAGTGTTGATCAGCTATGAAATGCAGGGATTTATATGTGCCATCTGACGTACCTCAGCTGACTAACAGTGTCTCAAAGCTGTTTCTTCAGTCGCTTCTTGCAGGTGATGAAAAATGGAGTATTTTCCCTCAGTGTGGTTATGTTCTTAAAAAATAAAAAGGTGTGAATTGCAACTTTTTGAGTTTTGATATTCAAATTCTAGTCGTTTTTGGTTTGTAGTTTTTTGTTTTGTTTTGGTGGTTGGGTTTTTGTTGGGTTGTGGTTTTTGGTTTTTTTTTTTTGTTTGTTTGTTTTAAAGGAAAAATGCTGTGGGAATAATTTTAGTGTAATTATTGAAAACAGCTGATGCACTAAAGAAACTCACAGACTAATGTGGCTTAGAAAGGACTTCTGGACATTGTCCAGTCCATGTCCAGTCCAGCCTCCTGCTCAAAGCAGCTTCAGTAAGAGCATGATGAGGTTTGAATGCTTCCAAACATGTAGATTTTGCAGCCTCTGCAGACATGTTTTGCTTGATCACTCTCATAGTTTAGAAAAGGAAATTCCTTATAGTAAGTTGGAATTTTTCATGTTTCAGCTTGTATTTATTGCATCTTGTCTATCCAGTGTTCACCCCCCAGAAGAGTTTGGCTCTGTCTTACCTACACCTTCTCATTAGATCATTTTAGAGGCAGTAAGATCCTGCCAGAGCTTTCTGAAGGCTGAACAAACCCAGTTCTCTCAGTCTTTCCCAATCCATCATGTACTCCAGTCTTCTGGTCATTCTTGTAGCTCTCTGCTGGACTGACTCTGCTATGTCAATGGCAGACTTGACCAGGTCACAGAGGATTTCAGAGGGAGATTTGCTGTTACAGCTGATTCAGTGTCATGTTGGCTGCTGACTGAAGTTCCCACTTCTCCCCAGGGTACTTGTCATGCATCCTTCTTTGCGTTAAGTCCCACAATCATGTAGTTGCCAGCTGTGACAGTTAGTCACTGATAGGATGGAAACATCACCCAGACATAAAATTTAATAGCTTTCTCCTGTTTCAGGTTACTCCTCTGATTTCCCTAAGGCCATATACTTGCTGGATACAGTGAAAGTACATGGGACCTGGCATTTTATCAGATGTGGTGTAATTTGAAACTGTATCCTAGGATTCCTTGTGGAGACCTTGAATGGGCAAGGAATGACTTACATTGTCAGCAGTGGGAGAAACACTGGAGATTACACTGATTGTACTGCTTATTCCTATTAAAGCAGAAAGAGGTGACATGGATGAGAATGTGGAAATGGTTTACGGAGGGGTTTTTGGGTTCATTTTTCTTTTGAGTTATGAATACAGTAGCATTATTTAAGTCAAACAGGAGAAACTCTGGTAGTGTTATTGCAGTCAAACAAGGAAGAGTCGTAGAGGCGAGAACTGGATTCACAATGTTGATTGAAGCAATTGAGAGTAAAATTCTATATTTTCTATTAACGTTTATAGCAACATAGTTGCTGAGACCTCCCTTTTAAACTAATGCTTTGGGTCAATAAATACCATGGAGCTGTGAATTGTATCTCCTCTCTGTCCTGGGAAGTTGAAGGCTTGTTTAGAAGTAGTCAGAAACATGAGCTGAAACAGTTGTGTTCAGATCAATGCCAATTATCTTTCATTTTACACATACATTTACTGCTGAAATGCACGCCAGAGGGCACTAAAGATATTTCAGCAATATGACTAATAAGAAACAAAAAATGTTTTCCTCTCTTCTTCAGGAGAAAGTTCTGTGTATCCCCCAGATGAAGCCCACCAGAAAGCTGTAGGTTAGTTCATTGGAAATTATCATTCCTCATAGGAAG